TCACACACACGTTGTCTCATGACATTGACTACAATTTATCCCAATGGGCAGCTAAGGACCATAGTCTCAGTGGATCCACCAGGCTCTATCACACCAGCTAACCTGGTCCCCTCACCATCTAGTTCTTCTGGTCTCATAGTCATATAGGCTGAGGATTGCATGGTGTACCAGTTGCGAGGACTAATAGTTTCCATGAATCTTTGGTTTTCTTCATTCTTCTTTGCTCTGGATGAGGAGAGGCCCATCGTTGCATCTAGATGGCTGCTTACCTCTTCCCTGTGTCCATCCCTCCATGCACTCCTGCCCCCTGAACTGTCTCCCTGGGCATAAACAGTCCTTCTTTCTCCCATAATTGTTCTCTCCAAGGAGTGTATCTACCTCAGGTACATGTTCAACTCCTATGCCTGTCTTCTATTTGGCTGCAAGCCACAGGTGTGGGTTAAATTCCAGACCTGAAGGGCAGCTAGGGACCATAATCTCAGTGGATCCTCTAGGCTCTAGCAGATCAGCAAACCTGGTCCCCCCTTTTTTTTTTCAAATGATTTTGAGTTTTGTTCCACATTGTCATCACCTTTTATCTTATAAGAGATAGAAGGAGACAGAGGACAGCAGACAGGGAGGGAAAGAAAGAAGAGCTGGGAGCAGAGCAGGTCCCTTGGACCTGGGGATCCTGCTCTGGGAACCTCCTAGACCCAGGGGAAGATTGATGCCAAGACACTTGGAGATCTCCAAGGGATCCTGGCCCACAAATGTTACAAAGAAGCAAGGAGCTTACCCCAGAGTCAACAGAGAAGCCTTCCCCTAAGGCTGGTGCCCTGAGTTTGGACTTGTAGCCTCCTAAACTGTGAGAATAAATTTCTGTTTGTTAGAGCCACCCATATTTCTGTTATAGCAGCACTCGATAACTAAGACACCTGTATTCTGTTTACTTCCATGAATTCCTCCCTAAACGTCCTCCTCCCGTAGACTTGTAAAGTACTCCTAAGCACGGGTGGCATGAGACTGTGATTGTTTGGCCCTCGCAAGAATTAGATTGAAGTTGGTGTCTCTCTGACCTGTCTTTTGTCAGGCTGGCTCACCCTGTAACAACGTGTCAACTTTAAGGAAGTTCCTACTTCCCCATTTTGAAGTTATCCCTAGGCTCTAAATTTAGAAAAAAATGTGCAACTGCCAAAATCATGGGTGATAAGAGACCAATTTCAGTAGTTTTTTTAGCATCTATAAATCCCCATATAATTGGTAAGGTGATTGTTTTTGAAGGTTGGGGTTAATTATTAGTTCTAGGGCCTGGACAGTGACAGGACACTGGAGTGGAGTGGCCTAGTGCAGCCTGGGGCCTAGACTGCCTATTGATAAAGAACTGGGCTTAAGTTAGATCTCCTCTTTTGACTGAGTAAAATGGCCACAAGATGGCTTTTGGATTCCCACATGGGACTCTAGCACTTCATTTCAGTAAAGGGGAAAATGATCTAGACTCAGAGTAGACACTAAGATTTAAAAGGAGAGAGGAAGAAGGGTTTGGGAGATTGTGAGAGGGTGAGTCTGAAACTGGCAATTGGGGGTCTGGGTCCTGTTCCCACTCTTGGCCCTACCCAATGGATGTCATTTCATATGCACAGTGAGAGAGTAGGGATATATTGGTGGTTTCCAAATCTGGCTGATCATCAGAATAGTTGCAGAACACACACACACACACACACACACACACAGAGATAATCTAAAGATTATCTTTGCTCTCACTCATGGGGCTGTGGAAAGTAAGGCCCAAGAGCTATTTTTAAACACTCCCTAGGTGTTTCTGATGACCAGAGAGGTTTGGGAACTATGGGCAGATATGCTGTAAGATTCTCTTTGGGGTCTGTTTAAGTGACAGATGATAATGTCTGGTGATGATTTGGTGGGAATATAGTCTCTTAGATCAAATCTGGCATCTCCAGAGCTGAGAGGGAAGGGAATCTGACCTGCTGTGATGAGCCCCTGGTGTCAGTGGTATAGTGGAGGGGTTAGGATGATTATATGTTACTAAGCAGCATTTTTACTTTAATTTTTTTTAATTGTTGAAGATATGCACAGCCAAACATAAACCAATTAAAAAATTTCTACAATTGCAATTCAGTGATACTGTTTCTGTTCTTTGAGTTCTTTGAGTTGTGCAACCCTTGTTTTCTGAGTTTTTCCTCTCCCGTTAACATAAACTCTCTCCTCCTTAAGTTTCTTATCTAATTTTTTGAGTTGACTATTTGATCCCATATAGATAGTTATTAATGAACACAATGCTCAAGGCACTTTTTGCTAGTATTCAACTATTTACCAAGTAGCATTTTCAAGATTTCTAGGAGATAGACATG